ATATTACAAATCCAATAGAACTAATCATAGGTCATTGGTTAAAAAAAAAAAAAAAAAGTCATCGAAATTGATGGCAATTTTCAGTAAAGCGATGGATGGAAGGTGGTGTAGTGGCTGAGTTGGCATGGGGTTAAAATAATTAACGTGTATTATATTATATGTTAAGATCTAACAAATTTATTTATCAAGTGATTTTTGAAATATTTTAGTGAATTGTTATCTATGAAATGTAATTTTTAGAACTAGGACTTATGTGTTGATCCCTTTAAAACATGAACCCCGATTTGGCCCATAGGCTCATGGGCCTTAAGAGCCCCTAGCTTGCTCATTTAAAAAAAAAAAAAAAAAAAGGAAGAAATTAAAAAAAAAATCCAAAAAAAAAAAAAATAAATGGGTTGATAGATATTATTTATGGTCGTGGATTTGAGTTGAAAGTTGTAGTGGTGATGCATTGGAGGTTATGGTGGTGGTGGATTATAGTGTTGGTCTATGATGTGTGCATGTTTGTTTGTAGTGTCACTCAGTGACTAAGTATGTGTTTATTATGACTGGTTTGTGACCAATTTTGGGTTAATTATGACCGATTGTGATTTGATCACATACTGTCATGGTTAAAATTGATCTGATCGCATACACTCATATTGGAAACAAATTTAATCATAGTTAGTCACGTTGAAGACAAAATTGATCACAGCTAGTCAAATATAACTCATATTTGAGTTCGCAAATCACAGTCATTTTGTATATGTCACTAATCAATATAAACGAATTATATGTTGTTTTGTAGAAGTTATGGATCAAATTTACAAGCCATATTTTATGTTACTAGTCACAAGTTACAATTTATGGTTTACAAGTCATATTTCATATATCACAATGTGCACATATTACAAATCCAATAGAACTAATCATAGGTCATTGGTTAAAAAAAAAAAAAAAAAGTCATCGAAATTGATGGCAATTTTCAGTAAAGCGATGGATGGAAGGTGGTGTAGTGGCTGAGTTGGCATGGGGTTAAAATAATTAACGTGTATTATATTATATGTTAAGATCTAACAAATTTATTTATCAAGTGATTTTTGAAATATTTTAGTGAATTGTTATCTATGAAATGTAATTTTTAGAACTAGGACTTATGTGTTGATCCCTTTAAAACATGAACCCCGATTTGGCCCATAGGCTCATGGGCCTTAAGAGCCCCTAGCTTGCTCATTTAAAAAAAAAAAAAAAAAAAGGTAGGAATTAACAAAATAATCCTAAGCAAAAAAAAATGAATCGGTTCATGAGCCCGAACAAGTTAGAGTCGTCCGTGGATCGAGCCAAGACAAGTCGATGAGTAGCTTGAGGTGTTTGCGACCCCTTAGACACCCTCCAAAGGAAAAACTTTGCTCCATCGTGCACCACCACAAAAATAAAAATAAAATAAAAATAAAAATAATAAAAAAAGAAAAAAAGGAAAGAAAATCTGTAACGACCCAAATCATCATAATTTAATTCGCTACAAATTTTTTTATTTTTATTTTTAAATCCTTTAATTTCTTATGAACGCGTAATAATTATCACTGAATTTCGACACAAGTAACGTGATAAATTGCTTTTACAATTATTGCACGTTCAATTTAAATTTGGTATGCATGGAAAACGAAAGCCACAAATTAATTCAAAATAAATAGGTATTCGCAGCATGTATAGTGACTATCATTCACCAACCAACATTTAAGTCTACCCAAGCAGTCATATAAAAAAAAGTGATGTGACATTGCTTAGACAATACGTTTTCATTAATTTTGGCAATGTCATAGAATTTACATAAAGATTATCTTTAACATGAACCAAATAGTAAAAGCATACCCAGTCATTTTTACAAGAATACTAATAGCGAAATAAAAAAAATGTTTAATTCGAAATTTTATTTTAAAATGCAGACTACATATATCCATTTGCATATAAACATATATGAAAATTTATTTATAAATAAATGTTCATTGCAATAAATTTAAAGTAAATTAAATTACGTGCTAATTTAGATCTTTAACCAGCGAAACAAGGCACCAACACACCAACGAACCACCACGCTCCGACATAACCCGATCTACCCTTTGAGGTGTAGGGAAAAATGGTGAGTACATGGGAATACTCAGTAGGATATAAAAATTTTAATGATTCAATCCCGAATAAAAATTTTAAACACATGTATCAGAATATCATACCGTCTCATATCTTTAAAATCCGATAAGAGCTCATAACATATCGTATCATATCATAGTACCGGAATGATCATATCATTCATATCATAGAACATCATATCATAGCATTAACTTTCATGAGTATAAAATTCATCAACATGTAAGAATAATAATTAAACGGGACAAAAAACTTTGCACCTCAATATCCTACCTTGATTGATGAATATAAATAGGTTATGGTCCCCAGATCACACGCAACGCAACGAATTATTCATTCTCTACTGCATCCCATCACAGAGAGGAAAAGGAGACTGCGTGTAGATTTGGAAGATCATACCGCGAAATCCATATTGCATTAACCATGTTAGATTCAGGTATGCTTCCGCTTTAATTATTATATTTCTCGATGATTTAACATGAAAGATCCGGTATTTTAAAGTATTAAATTATCCAACATGAACTACTTGAAAGAAACAAATTAAAACAAAAATAAATCGTGAAACTCATTAATGTTAATGTACTTGTAAACCTAGAATTAGTTGAGTTGTTAAATGTTTTTAAAGAGACATAAATTGTCAAACCAGATTACTTAAAAAGATAGGTAGCCTCTTGACTCAAGCAAGGAATAAGCATTATTCATTATTTTTATGTTCGAGTGGTTAAATTTTTAGATCACATGACGTGTACATTCTAGAACATTCATTTAACAAATCCCAATTGACATGTAATTAATAATGACTTATATAAGTTAAGTGATTTTCTTAATCATCTTGGTCGTGTCTCTATTGAATATAAAACGTGGATTTAACTAATCAAGTCTTAATTAGAACTTAGAGTTGTTTCAATTGAGAAGATTATTCTCAAATTAATTCAAATTGAAAATAATTATAATATTAAGAAACCATTAAGCAATAATTAGTTAATTAAATATTCAAGCTTCGGTGGGGAGCCCCCACAAAACACTACGTTCCCACCAAGTCAAGTCAAGACTTGGAAAAGTACTAAAGTTGTAGGCCTTTTATCTATATTTTCGTCTCAATTACACCATGTTGCACATGACACGGTCCATATTCTATAGAGATGGATCAATTTTCATTGAAGTTAATTCCGATTGACTTCTTCGAGTCTTTCGTGCCTTAATAAGGGTTAATAGAGGTTTGACATGAACCATTTCTTATATACAAATTGATACGAATTAATATTTATCTAGAATGATATTCTTCTTTGTTTTATTAATAATAATAAAGTACGAAAGTGAAATGTATAAATTGTGTATAAACTTCATAATTGTTTTTGAAGTACAAAGATAAAGATTACATCGAACCAAAAACATGATTTTGATTACTCCGTTTCTTGATTAATTTTCAATAATGTTACGGAATTCAAGTTAGGCTTCATGAAAATGCAATCGAATTGGATCATATGTCCAATCGAACCAAAATGAAAATTTCAGTCTGAAACTTTTTACTTTTCTTTATTCAGAAATGCTATATGTACAGAAATGTTTGACAATTGTTTTGACAGATTGCTAGCTCAAGATTTTATTAGACGTTGGACAAAATAAAATTCAAATCAATTAATACAATATTTCCACCTCATCATTTGTTAAGTGGTACATATTTAATTTGTATAAGGAATTTAGTTGGGAGTTCACACTTATATGTAATCATTCATCACCTTCGTAGCACATGCTAGAGAACCATCATACATCAATCCATTACACTCAGATTTTCATTGAAGTTTAAGTTAATTCCGATTGACTTCTTCGAGTCCTTCGTGCCGAGTAAGATAAGGGTTAATAGAGGTTTGACATGAACTTTAGTGAAATATATCCTGTTGATTAACCATTTCTTATATACAAATTGATACGAATTAATATTTATCTAGACTGATATTCTTCTTTGTTATATTAATAATAATAAAGTACGAAAGTGAAATGTATAAATTGTGTATAAACTTCATAATTGTTTTTGAACTACAAAGATAAAGATTACATCGAACCAAAAACATGATTTTGGTTACTCTGTTTCTTGATTAATTTTCAATGTTACGCAATTCAAGTTAGGCTTCATGAAAATGCAATCGAATTGGATCATATGTCCAATCGAACCAAAATGAAAATTTCAGTCTGAAACTTTTTACTTTTCTTTATTCAGATATGCTACATGTACAGAAATGTTTGACAATTATTTTGACAGATTGCTTGCTCAAGATTTTTTTAGACGTTGGACAAAATAAAAATCAAATCAATTAATACAATATTTCCACCTCATCATTTGTTAAGTGGTACATATTTAATTTGTATAAGGAATTTAATTGGGAGTTCACACTTATATGTAATCATTCATCACCTTCGTAGCACATGCTAGAGAACCATCATACATCAATCCATTACACTCACCTTCTTACGTAATTTCTTCACAAGGCATCTGCAAATTCCGATCACCCCACACCACCCCACCCCACAACTCGGGGTAGCCCCAGCACACACACACAAGCAACGTTTTATAATATTCCCATCTCTCTCTCATACACAGACACAGAATTCTGGCGAAAGTGAACATGCATGCTCAGCAAATGTTCTCTGTATTATCTATTTGTAGTTATCTTCTGGTTTTTTCATTTCTTGCACACCCTTCAACTTCTGCTCTACAATCTTTCATATATGCGGGTTGTTCTCAGCTCAAATACAACCCGGGGACACCTTACGAGTCAAACGTCAACTCAATCCTCGATTCTTACGTAATTTCTTCTCAAGGCATCTGCAAATTCCGATCACCCCACAGCTCGGGGTAGCCCCAGCACACACACACACACACACAAGTAACGTTTTATTATAATCCCATCTCTCTCTCATACACAGACACAGAATTCTGGCGAAAGTGAACATGCATGCTCAGCAAATGTTCTCTGTATTATCTATTTGTAGTTATCTTCTGGTTTTTTCATTTCTTGCACACCCTTCAACTTCTGCTTTACAATCTTTCATATATGCGGGTTGTTCTCAGCTCAAATACAACCCGGGGACACCTTACGAGTCAAACGTCAACTCAATCCTCGCATCCCTAGTTAACTCAGCCGCCTTCTCAAACTACAACAATTTCAAGATTTCTCTCCCGGACTCCAACGTCGTTTACGGCCTCTTCCAGTGCCGTGGAGACCTCAGTAACTCCGATTGCCACGACTGCGTGACCTACGCAGTCAGTCGAATTGGAACCATCTGCGGCGGCGCGTCGGGTGGCGCGTTGCAGCTGGATGGGTGTTTCGTGAAGTACGATAATACATCATTCTTGGGTGATGAAGACAAGACTGTTGTGTTCAAGAGATGTGGGCCGTCGATCGGGTATGACTCGGATGTGTTGACCCAGAGAGATGCCTTGCTGGCATATCTAACGGGTGGTGGGCAGTATTTTCGGATTGGTGGGTCCGGGAAATCACAAGGTATAGCACAGTGTGTACAGGATTTGAGTACGAGCGAGTGCCAGGATTGTTTATCGGAGGCGATCACACGGTTGAAAAGTGAGTGTCAATCTTCAACATGGGGTGACATGTTCTTGGCAAAGTGCTACGCGCGCTACTCGGAGCGTGGATACACGCCAAAAAGCGGTAAGCAATTCCACCGCCGTGGCTGGTGGTTCACGGTTTGTTGGTTCCTCCTAGTTCTATCTCCTGTTAGTCAAAAGTTGGTAGTCGAATTAATTATTATAATAGAGCATTATAAAAAATTAAAATTCTATTCGATTTAATACTGCTAACCAAATAAACACTTTCATTGAAAAAAAAAAAAAAAAAAAGGAGTTTTACACAGATGATATTTTTTGCTTTGGATGCCCACTAAATATAAAGAAAAATGTAGCTGAAAAATAAACTCATGGATCATTTCAATTTCAAGATTCCTAATTCTACCATTTTTTATTCCAAAAATCCTTGAATTTCGAATTTACTACATTGGACTAAATATATGATTTAAATAATACTAATTAATTAACTTTTGTCAAAGATACTACTCTCCTCTTTGATCATGTCCAATCTAATATATCAACCATCCGTTTGTAAGGATTTTTGTAAAATTAAAGCTAAGTTGAGCTGAGACTAAAAAGTTACTTTTGAAAATGTATATATAATTTTTTTATTGTGTTTTTGTCTGACCTGAAAAGTTTTTATAGAAAGTTAATCTAATGTAGTTTTTTCAAAAAGTTCTTTTACGAGAAGTAGAAGAAAAAACAGAAGCTCAACCAAGTATACCCGAAATTTCTATTAAAAATTTAGGTAATTTAGGGCTACAATACATTCCAAATTACTTCCAGCCCATAACTATGAAAATACAAATAATAATGCAGTCTTGAGCTGCTGGTAGATTAGTTGGCAGTAGAGTTTATAATATTCTGGTTGTCTAGAGCATGGCATGATGAGCAAGAAATTGGCAAATTGGATGGTGGCACAAACATATTTATTTATATATGAAAATATAATATTAACTCTTCAATTAAAGAAGAAAATATTTGTTTTTGTTGATCCCAGATAAAGATGATGATGACGATGACGACATGGAGAGAACCCTTGCAATTGTTATTGGACTCATAGCAGCTGTTGCATTGATTATTGTTTTCCTATCTTTCTTCAATAAACTTTGTGATAGTAAAGGTAAACTTCACTCCTTTCCCCATTTCTTTCAACTTAAGAAAACTACAATACTAGAATTCGTATACGCGCAAGCAACTATCTCGTCCTTAAATTCATGAATAGGGTCAGTTAAATGATGGTAGTCGAATTTCATGTATGATTTAGCCTTTTCTCTTTGGACATTAAGTGATTTTAAGATGAAATGGTTTAAACCCGATCTAAGTATCAATTTGCAATTGATTAAATAGAAAAGTATTTTCGTTATCCGCAACAATTTTTTTAACATTGAAAGATGAAATGAACTGAATTTTTTCTTTGTGTTTGCAGGTGGTAAATGAAGAACAATTTAGCATGGTGCCTTGCTTTTGGTTAATTTTTTGAACTTTTATTCCAGCCGGTCCATTATCTCAATCTTGTTCCTTTTCCTTTTGCAAAGTTTTTATCCATATTTGAGGAAACTTGAAAAGGGTGATGGAGATGTGTGAGGTGAAAAGATGTTAAGAACAAAAAATCCCAAATGCATAATTTGTTATCATGTACATTGCCTAGTGGAATGTTGACTTGACTTGGCTACATTATTCATTGCATTGTTGAATGTTTCAAAATGTACTTTTAAGTCTTTAATAAGATTTTAAAATTTATAAATTTATTTTGTTTGAACTTCTCTGAAAAGGATAGTTGTTTTTTTATAAGGTTTTTGTTTATGCCCAAAAATTCATAGTCGTAGACCACACAATCGATGGATTAATACTCTTTAATATTGAGGCTTCATCTTCGACAATCTTCTGAATTATAAGATTATCAAGATTTTCTATTTAATACATCAAATAAATATGTTTTTGCTATAGTCTTGTGCCGATGAATCTCGCATGAATGTTAAATTACAAGATTCCCAATGAGAACTTTCTCATGAATAATTCATGCGACAAAAGGTGATGCAACTAGAAAGTTAATTAAGCGGACATCTTTTTCGACAAAGGGAGAATTATTAGCACAAAGACAAAACACCTCGAGTTTGACTAGCTATAGTTGAGTATATGCTAAACATTTTTAATGTTTATATCTTACAATCAATTATATTAGCCATTAACAACAATGATTTGGAAAATATTCTCCTCCTTTTTGTTAAAAAGGCATTCATGATGGATTTAGCATTCATTTAGTGCATAAATTATATAAAAAACTGCATAGAATTCTCTTTCATCAATTATCCTTTCAATTTTGTTATTGTCTCATGGATTCTTTGAATATGGCAGATTGATACCATCCTATCCTTTATATCATCTCACCATTACTTTATTCCCTTATTCTCTATAGTGCTTGCAGTCTTACTCTTGATGGCATTAAAGTATAAAAGTAAGTAGATGAAGAGTAAATTACTTTTTGTTCTAAAAAAGACAAGTAACTTTCTTTGATCATTTGGTTTATAAGGTTATCTACTGTTCAAATCTGTCAATCTATTAAGAAAGCTCAACTTTATACCTATGTGACTTTCCACAAAACGAATATTTTGGAAGTGTTAAATATTGCTTTGAAATTTCAATTTGTAGATTAAATAAAAAAATATGTTTGAAATTAACAATAAGTTAATTTTTCTTATAAATGTTCGAGTGAAAATTAGTTTTTTTTTTTTTAATCAGAGTTAAAATTAGTTATTGCTTGTACATATATGGTTGTTAACATAATTATTTAGCGTGAGCATCAAATAAGGGGTGGCAATGTCTGCTTGACTCTAAGGACGAGCAAAGCATGAACTCTACTGGTGTTCACAAATAAGGCTCGGTACTCTGGCTTGTGGGACATGATCCAAACCCGAGGAAAACTCATTTTATTTTTCTTAAAAAATTAATAAAAAATAAGCTAAAAAGCGTTCCATGAGCTGACTTGTGAAAAAAATGGAGCTTGACTCGATCGATAACTCAGCTCAATACGAATCCGAGCGATCCATTAATTAAATCGAGAATCGAGTCAAGCGCGTGAACAAGTCAACAATTTGCGACACCCTACCATCAAAGCAAAAGGTTGGTATATTTCTTTTAAAAAAGGCAATACAGCTCAAGAAATGTCCAACTACATAAAGTGGACAAACAGGATCCTAACAATATATTTGATATAGAGCCACGACAAATTAATATGGCGAAAAAATGGAACACTTTACTAATTAAATAAAAATTTTAATAATACAATGACAATATTTCACACCCTTTTTGTTCTTGGTTGGAAATCAGTTTTCACGTCTATAGAACCCCACAAAAAAGTTCAAAATAATTATATCCACGACGAGAAATTAATTATTTGCTGCTTCTTCTTCTTTTTATTTTTATTTTTATTTTTATTTTTATTTTTATTTTATTTTCATAAACACTTCTATTTGTCAGCTTGAAAGTTTTGAAATTTACTCATTTTACCTTAAAAAGTAAGATGATAAACACACAAACTATGTTAGTCACACAATAATTTGTTGGAGACGTTGAATTTTTTTTATCTCCTCTAGAGAGCTCTTGAAAAATTAAGACAATAAATTAAAAGCAAAGAGTATTTGAATTCTTCCACAAATTGTGACATTATTATATTATTTATTGTGTTTTAGAAGTAAAACAAGGTTTTACAGTTTACTCCAAGGGTGCGTTTTTCATACCTGATGATTGATCAGATAAGAATTAATTTATTTATATTTAACGTTTGGTGCAATTGTACTCGAAATAAATTAATAGCTGTTAAGAGGAGGTTCACAGATTTGAATGATTTAACCAACAAAAATATACAAGAAACTAAAAATCGAACAAGAATTGTAAAGAAGAAATTTCATTAAACTTTTGCCCCAAGACAATAACACCCAAAATACAAGTGCTTCCATCACAGGAAGGACCACTAGCAGAATGAACTAGAACCAATGTGTAAAACTTTGGATTTTTGGCACTCAAATCGTAATCACACAATATTACATAAAACTCAGCATTCTCTTAACAATTGAATGTGTGAACAAGAACATATTACTCAACTCAAGTAGAAATCACTCAAGATTACAACATATTTGAGAGAGTAACACAAAATCAAAAAAGAGTTTCGATTTTCAGAGAAGAGAAGACGAAGAACACAAACGGCCAAAGAGAAAAGAAGAATCTCAAAGAAAAATCACGCGTCTCAAACACTAGAACGCCTTTTATAAGAGTCACCAATAGGTCGGCCATCCAACAGTAATAGAGTTGACACATGACATCATCTCGAGCGGACATTCACAGGGTAAAACACGGTTTTAACAGAAACACGCTTTTGCTACAAAATAAGCCAACAATTTTAACAAAACAGTCAACTGGTCAACACTAAAAGCCCAAAAATGACTAACCAAGAGGGGGAGTGAATTGGTTATTTTAATCTTTTTCAATAATAAGTGCTAATAAAAACAATTTGCAAATATAATAAAGAACAAGAAAGATAACTTTGAAAAATAACAAGAGAAAGGGATAGAGAATGCAAACGATATGTTATGGAGGTTCGATCCAATCACGGTCTATGTCCCCCATTACCAAGCTCCCGTCACGAGCAAGGCTTTTTTTACTAAATGTGATTGACTTATGGTGCTATCCAACCTTCTACAAAGCTTTCGGTGACTTAAAAACAAGGAGCACTGATCCTTTTACAACGTTGAGCTTTTCAAGACCTCAACACGACCCACAATTCAATCAAAAGTAAACTTTATAAGAAATGAATCTTCTTCCACAATAAAGATAGATTCAAAGTTAAGTACAATGGAAAGAAGTAGGCTAACACTTTAATGAATGACAATAAGTGAAGCTCAAATGTTAGGTTTGAAAAAAACTTTGATAAATAAAATGATTTTCAAAAGTAAACTCAATCAAAAGTTTTCCAAAAGTGAATGAATTGATAGAGATAAATAAAGAGTAGAGAGTTAAAGCTTGAATGTATCTTAATTTAATGCTCTTGGAAGTGATGATAATGAATGCAAGAGGTTGGGGGTATTTATAGAGTCCAAAACGTTAAAAAATCTGAATTTGCGGCTGACTCATTTGGTCGACCGCCTCTTGTCCGGAAGACCAATATAGTTGTTTGTACAGTAAAAATCAGAAGTCAGAACGGTCAAATTTTGGACCGTTGGAGGAGTCCGGTCGACCGCCTCCCTGGGCGGTTGACCGCCCCCGTAGTGTGATCTTTTCACGTTTTGACCTCGTTTGTTCCGTTTTGAAAGTTTTGAAGTGTTTGAACTTTTGGAGAATGTTTTTAACTAAATTTTCATAATAAAAATGTCTTTAAAATTCATATTTTATTTTTAAAAGTCATTTTCATGTTTGATAAAAAATGTTGCATTCGAATTATTTTAGTGCACAAAAATTGTTTTTAATGTATAGCAAGATTTTGAGCTTAACTATTCTTTGCCAAATATCAAAACATTGGTACCTTTACATTTTGCCCAAGAAATTAAGTCTTTGCTCTGAAGTATGCCTCGTCTTGATCTTTCATTGATGTCGTCTCTCACGCTGTTGATCTTGATCTTTTTTGGCATTTATCTCTTAAGCTTTTTGTCTCGAATAATTTGACTTGAATACATGGCTTTCACTTTGATCTTCATTTGAAGTCCGATATACATGATTGATTTGACCATTGAACCATCATCACTAAAAGGAATTTGTTAAAAATAAAAATAATCTTTTTTGTTATGATCAAAACATTGAGGATTAAGTCAACCATATGACAATAATTTTTTCCATTTTTGATTATGACAAACAAGATGATTTGCAAGATAAATTTAACAATTTATATCAAAAGAATATACATTAAAAGATTTATCATGTGATCTATTCCCCCTATCCTTTACAAATCATGACCATATATTCAAGGCATATATTTTATGTTCAATTTAAATCATGCATAATCATCTCACCATATTTCCCTCTTTTGGCATAAGCAAAAAGATATAGCATTTAAGAGTAATATAAAATCATACAACATTCCCCCTTAATTTAACACACAAAGCATAAAAATAGTTTAGACGCCATATATAAGCAAATTCAAAGACAATAGTAGTTAATAGTTTAGACCCACATAAAGAGTACAATACAAATGCATATAATTATATTTAAGACTCCGGAGGAGGTGGCGGCAGGAAAAGTGCATCAAACCGAGCATAAAATGCATTTTGTTGAGCTTGCATGGCTTCCTGCTGAGCAGTGTAATAAGTATAGAAAGCATCTTGTTGAGCCTGTATCGTCGTTTGTTGAGCTTGTATTGAGTCTTGCTGAACTTTCAATTGGTGAAACATTCTGCCAATCCCATCGATAGATGAGGTAAGAGAGTCAAGCCGGCCATTTAGAAGATTTTAGTGATCCTCGGTAAAAGTAAAACTGCTCAAAGGTGGACGAGCACTTGATTTGGGAATGTCATGTGGAGGACTGGGAACAAGTGGTATCTTGTCGACCTGATCATCTTCCTCCTCGTCATCTCCTTCGAAGGGTAAGGTTGAAGGGCCCGAATCCAGATCAAACCCCTTAGTACGGGCCACCCATTGCCCATGCTCCTTGGCAATTTTCATTCGTTTAAGAGTAAATGTTGATAGTGTTAGTGGG